CGACTGGCGCGCTGTTGTTAACTCGGCTATAATCGCGTAAGCGGTGTCTAYGCCAATTAAGAAGAAGAAGAATGCTATGAGTCGAAGTTGCGAGTTTTCGAGAGAAAAGCAAAAGATTTATGTTCGAACGACCATATCGCATTCGATGGAACGATGAGCTGTACGAGATATACGACGATATTGACATAGTTGAGCGAATTAAAAGACAGCGGCTACGCTGGCTAGGTCATGGGGAAACAGAGGAAGAGGAATACCTCCACCCCGTTAGAAGGACCAAATGGAGAAGGACCTGGCTTCACTTGGAATATCTAATTGGCGCCACGTAGCGAAATGAACAAACGACTGGCGCGCGGTTGTTAACTCTGTTATAATCGCGTAAGTGGGGACTACGCCAATTAAGAAGAAGAAAAAGAATGATATTGTCAGATACCCATCTTACGAATAAAAACAATTTCTTTATACCGGGTTTTAGATTCTATGTTACAAACCACGCAGATGGAAAGGCACATTGTCGAGCAGCAGTGTTGGTTAAAAAACGATTAAATCACCACGCATTAGATCCTCATACTACAGCACAGTTACAAGCTACATATACTGCTCACCTCGATTTAAAATTACAGATATCCAATTCAAAGACTTTTTTGGAACACTGAGTCATAGGTTTCTAATGCAAAACACGCGTATTGGGTCTCAGGATTAATTAATTAGAAGGGATGACACTTTATCAAACTGTTATAAATAGGCAGAAAAATCAGAAATAGTGAAATAGAAAGGCTTGTAAATGAAAAAAGGCGTAAAACACAAGACGGACAAATAAATTGCTCCCCTTTCACTCAGCTTCAACTGAAATCTCCTATACGTAAATTTAAAAAAGTGCTTAAACGCGAGGAAGAATTCAACACCGAAATGTATGTAAACAAGTTGTGCCCGAATTCAAACCAGCGAAATTCCCTTTGGAAAGCCCAAAAATCCATAAAGCCACCAATTGACTCCAACATGCCTATACGAGACTTAGGTGGAAATTAGGCTGCAAGGAGGAAAAGGAGGAGGAGGATGAGGAAAAGGCTAATTGTTTTGCAAATCATCTAGAAAACGTATTTCAACTTAATTGCCCAAAAAACAATTTTTACCCAAAACAGCTAAAGCGTCGCTCGAATCTTTTAAGGCTTCACCTTCTGTAATTATTAGAATCATAAAAGAAAAAAGCCACAATGACAATATTACCCCAAAAATGCTAATTGAGTTACCAAATATTGCTGTTGTGGTTCTCTCTTCGCCCTTCGGTGCAATTCTAAGTCTCAGATACTATCCAATTTCATGGAACAAGTCGTGTATTATCTTGATAGACAAGCCTGGGACTTAACACAGCCGTACACCAATCCGCGCTCTACCCTGTCTTTCTAAAATATTTGAAAAATATGTCTCCTTTCCTCCAGGAAAATAATATTATATAATACCAACGCACCAATTCGATTTTTTGAAAAACTTAGCACGATAGAGCAAATAAATAGAATTACTAACGAGATATGAAGAGCATTTAAACACAGAGAGTACTATTCAGCTATGTTTCTGGATGGGCCTTAGGCATTTGATAAGTTGTGGGATTTCATATAAGACTACAAACTTCTACCTTTAGAATTGTATAAAACATTGGAGTATTATTTAGAAAATAGAAAATGTATGGTAAAAATGAAAGATTTCATATCTCATGAACGACAGATAAGGGATGGTGTACCATAGGGCAGTGTTTTAGGCTCAACTCTATAGAGCAGATCTTCCAACGGCTAATAATATATTGACTTCAACTTTAGCATATGATACATACGTAATGAAAATATCCATAAAGATCTTGGTAGAGGACAGTATAATTAAATATCCCAAACCCATTGTAGAAACATACAAGTAACAAAAGAATCATATGGTCGTCAACAGCTGAGATCACATGATCGAAGTAGTTGATTTTTCGGCACAGAGATTTAAATGAAAGGACTTAAAAATAGTAAAGAGGTTGCAGTATAGGCGCGTTAGCAATATTTTTTGAGTGTTAGGTTCCCCAAGAGGCCTATTTTCACACATATAAAATATACAATACTAAACAAAACTATTTGTAATAATTTAAACAAAAATAGATAGATTCTTCAAATATTTTTAATAAAATAGAAAAGATTTACCAATATTTAGGTACAATAAATAAAATTTTAATCAAAACTAGATAAATTTTATCTCTATGAATTTTAATAAACGAAATATATTTGAAAATTAACAAAATCGTACTTAAAGTAATAACCCTAACGAACTGCATGGGCTTTTGCCCTGAGTTTTCGCTCATTCCATTGCATTCTTAATGTAATTTCTGTCATTCTACAAACTTTTGCCTGTGTATGTATGGGTGAAAATGATAGAATTTGTTACTTGTAGGTTTATACAATGCCCAAACCCTTTGGCTAGGGCTTTAGTACATTCCTGTGATCAAATCCGCTTTAAAAGAAGAGATATACTTGCGTACTAAGGAGCAACGTAGCACCAAAACAGCTCAAACACTTGCTCGAGTTTGTCTAGTTTTTAAATAGATTTAAGA